TTCAGAGGAGTCAAAAGTTAAAATTGCATAGGCTTTTTAACAGTGATTGGGGTGGATTTGTTGATGACATAAAATGTACTTATGGGTTATGTTTCAATCTCGGATCAAGAATTTTTCATAGTCATCCAAGAAGCAAGACATTGTGGCACAATCCATTGCATCAGCAAAATTTATTACAGCAACAGCAGTAATGAATCAAGTATTATGGCTTCAAAAGATTCTATATAATTTGCATATAAAGAAGAAAGAAATAGTAGAGATTTCAGTAGACCATTAAATAGCCATAGCAATTTCTCACAATTTAGTATTTCATGAAAAAATCAAACACTTTAACATCAAACTCTATTTTTTACGAGAGGTGTAGAAAAATGGTGATGTTATGTTTATCTATTATAAGTCTGAAAATCAACTAGCTGATGACTTGTTTACTAAACCTCTTCCAGTAAGTAGGTTTAAGTTTCTAAGAAAAAAAAATTGGACTTTGTAACTCCTAAAGCAATAAGGAGTATTGAAGATTGCTTCAAGAGCTATCAAGATTCTGTTATATTAATCTTTTAGTTGCAGCAATAATAAATGGTTGTCCTAGTCTTTAGAAATTGGTAGTCTATTAGCATATTATAGCATGATTTGGTGTTATAGGTTAGCAATTTAGTTTATTTCATTATATTTATAAAGATTGATTTCAATAAGTAAGCATTCAATTCATCTCAATTCAATAAAATAATATACAAGAGTTTGTTGTCTTTAACTTTCTTCTTATTTTATTTCTCCACTTAAATACTTAAGTGGTATTTATAACAACACCTCCTCATGCCTTAAACTTTCATTTCTTTTTACTCTCCAAGATAATATTATCTCTCTTTACCAACTTATCTTTCCTTCAAACTCTTGCTATTTGTGTTTTGTACCAAACACACCTTAGATTCCTACAATAGCCCATCATTTTTTAGACTTATAATCAGAAAAACACCATTAAGCATCACTGAGAATAGATGAGGTTGAAGGGATGTGAGTTAAATCTATTGATAATAGAGTTTGGGATTGTGAATTTCTAAATACATATCAAATCCTAGCATTTTTTTTATGAGATTAAGGAGGAAAGGGTTTAAGTGGAAATGGTAAAAGTAAAACTGCTTCTAGTGTATCAAGGTTTTTATTAAGGAAAAGAAAGATAGTATTTTTAGAATAAAATTTTTTGTGTTAATTTTTAGAGGAATTTATTTGCAAATCAAAAGGTCTCTCTTCTGATTTACTCTTGTCTATTGTTTATGATTTGGAATTCAAATCAATACCCTCAAAAATATTTTTATAGTATTTTAACCTTGTAGAGAGAAAAATATCTTCATTTATACTACCAACTCACATTATAAATAACATCATAACTTAACTATTTCAATAACCACTAATATCATCATCACTATCACCATCACCATCATCACTATCACAAGAATAACACTCCACCATCAACTCCACTTTAAAACCACCACCACCATCAATATCAATACAAATATCATCTTTTTACTAATATAACTATCATTTTATTATCATTTTATTATAACTGTCCAACACCACAACACAACCAAAAAATCAAACCGTCCAACACCACAACACAACCAAAAAATCAATCACTAACAACAACATATTAATCATCAATGTAACCATTACTTTATCATCAGTTTTACCATTCTTATCGTTATTTCAACTCCATTCTTACCACAACAACTATCTTCATTGCTAGTCGTCGTCGTCGTTGCTATCACTATTACCACTATCTTGTTATTAAATTAACCATAAAAAAAATATTATTTTATCACTTTGCCACCATTATTGTTACCACAAAAATTATCATTTTACAATGACCACTACTATCATCAACATTATCACAATTACTACCATAAATGTTACTACCACAACCATCATTATTATTTTTATCATCAACTTAACAATTTTTCTCATCATATTATCATTATTAAAAACTATCAACGAAAAATAATTCATTTTATAAAAAAAAAATTATTGAGGTTTTCAAAAACTAACTTAAAAAAAAATCTATTTTAAGAAAATATTTTACGCAGAAGAAACATACCCATCAATGAAAAATAATTTATTTTATAAAAAAAAAATAAAAAAACTACTGAAGCTTTCAAAAACTAACTTAAGAAAAAATCTATTTTAAGAAAATATTTTACGCAGAAGAAACATACCTTAGTGAGCATCCATTCTCATTTCTGGAACTGTCACACACAGTAGTCATGTATATACCATCTAGGATCTACTAATTCTCGTTATGCGACTTTAGACAAGGTATCTAACTAACATAAAATATCAGTTTTGTGCTATTGTTGGATCATGAAAAAGTAAATTTCTCTAGCACCTGGCACCTGCTTGCCAAAGAAAAGGGGTACAGCTAGCATTGCTTTATATATAGTTACTTGATGAAAAAACCAACCCTCAGTATTGCTTTTCGCTTAACGTTACAAGTGAACGCAGAATTGAATAACTGAGAGATACCTTACTTCCAAAGTTGTGCAATCTCCCTCTTTACCACTTTTTTAACCTTTCCTGAGGGTTTGTCTTCATTGTGTAGCTCTTTACCTTGCTTTCCTTCTCACTTTTTGGACGGCTGTTAATTTGTCTGTCTATTACTTTTGTCATCAGACTACAAGCTATCCACATAGATTCCTGCTGTCTTCCACCTTCTCCTTCCTATAAATCCAGCGCTTCAAGTGGACATAGCCCACTGAGCTGGTTCTTCTACTAGAAAAACCAACCTTGATAAGGAATTAACAGTTCATTGAGCCTCACCAATATGGCTTCATATGCCTACAGTACTGCCAGCCGAAACTCATCACAAAGAGCATTAGCCATGGCGTTGGCTCTAGCGTCAGCTGTGGTGCTATCACCATTGTATGTTAAGCGAAAGAACGACCATACGCGTTATTTTAATCATGAGACAAAATGGAGCTCTGGCTTTGTTCTTCCAATGGTGCTTGCTGGACTAATAATTGCTATTAGGACTACTTCCTCTTCTATGTCAGTCCATAGAGGTGCTGCGGCTTCGTTCATTCCGTCTCCAGATCCCTCTTGGGTGCTTAGAATTGGGAGCTCTTCTTGGGGACTAGCTGGAGTGTTAGTGATGCTTATGCTTGTGCTATCATGGCAAGACTCAGTTCAAGAATTCTTCTGGAGATAAAAGAAGATCTAATTTTGTTCTTAGTATAGGCTATATATGTTTGTTGTTTTGGTTGGAATAGTATTAAATAACCTTATCATAGTTTAATTTTCTCCAAGTTCAAATTAATATTGTGAATTTCTAAGAAAATCTTGTTGGCGATTTTCATTGATCGATCATGAACGAGGATATGTTTGTCTGGGCTGCTCGTTGCCTTGTATGAGAACGTCCATAAGTACCTGACTTCAAGAATTAATGGTATCGCCTAAAGTCAAAAGTTTATATTAGTCCTTCTACTCTTAATTTTGTAATACTGTAGCCTTCCTGCCATATGTATGTAATAATGTCAACATTCTACTACTAAAAAACCCAAATATTAAGAAATAGAAATAATCAAAACTTTGGAAAAAAAATTAAAATTTTGAAAAAATTCTACAAAATCAAAGTTAAAATAATCAAAATTGTGATTTTTTTTCATTTAAAAAAAAAACTCTTAACATCCATTAAAAATGGTGTTAAATTATTTCGTTAACTCTACCACATGATGACATGCTGACTTGTGTATTTATTGTATTAATAATCACAAATTTCATCCTTCTACTCTTTACATTTTAAAAAATATTATGTCAAAAAAATCCCGAATGTTAAAAAATAAAAATAACCAAAAGATTGAAAAAGAAATAAAAATTCAAATTTAGAAAAAATATTTAGAAATTCAAAATCAAACTTATGAATTTTTCATATTTAATAAAAAAATTATTAAAATTTAAATTATTTTAATTTTTTCAATTTAGCATGTCAACTATATCAAACATGCAAGATCATTTCCAAAAGTTAGCAGTAAATTGAATAAAAACAAAGCGGTGGAACCACATTAAAGAGTTTATTAGCATCTAGTTATTTTTTAAATAATTTTTTGTATTAAAATTTATATCAATATTTTTTTTATTTTGTAAAGATTATTTTTTACTCAATATATTAAAATAATTTAAAAATACTAAAAATATATTTATTTAAAGTAAATAAAAAAATTTAAAAATTTTAAGTTTTTTAAAAAAGCTTTTAAAATACGTAAACAAACAGTAAAAAAATCTTAACATCCATTAAAAATAGTGTTAAATCCTTCCATTAACTCTACCGCATGATTAATCTCATGCTGACGTGCGTGTTTATTATATTATTAATCACATATCTCTCATCCTTCTGCTCTTTACATCTCAAAAAATATTATTTCAAAAAACTGCTCAAATATTATAAATTTAAAATAATCAAAACTTTGAAAAAGAAATAGCAATTCAAAATTCAAAAAAAAAATGCCCAAAAGTACAAAATTATGAATTTTTGTGCATTTCTAAGTAACTTTTTTTTAATTAAAAGTTCAGTTATTTTAATTTTGCCGCATGTCAACTTTATCAGACATGTAGGTTTATTGGCAAATTAAAGTTAACAACCAATTGGACAAAAACATAGCAAAGGGGTCACATTAAAAAATATAAATAATAGAGGGACTAAATTTGTGATTAATACAACATTAAATATCAACATATTATTGATCATAGGTATATTTAACAGTTGTGTATATTGTAAAATATCAACCATCAATTTCTATCAAAAAAATAACTAACGCCCAATATAATCACAAAGATCATTTTGCTATAACACACAATTTTTATAAAAGAATATATTTTAATATATGTTTACAGCTATCTCCCTCCCATAGCTCAAGATTAAATATTAATGGGCCACCACATCTAGAAGAGTTGGGCCTAATCAGTCGTATCCTGGCCTTGGGGAAATGGGCTTCCTAGACGAAAACGATTTCTACATGTAATGCTTTGCTTTCTCTACTTCCCTTCCCTTTCTGTTTTCTTATTCGCACTCTCGCTCTCTTGTCTCTATAACTACATGTATTCACAATTGAATAATAGCAACAGAGAGTAATTTACTAAAATCTCTCCCAGCAAGTCGTTGTTCCTTGGGATCAGCCCCAATCTCATTTCCAAGGTTAGTGCCTCAGTTGTCTCGCCTTCACTTTTGAATCGATCCCATCTAAGTATTTCATTTTTCTGTTTCCTTGTTTGAAATTTGTTTGAAGCGGCCATAACCCACTTGTTAATTTCAGCTGCGGTTTAGTTTTTTATTTTTATTATTATTATCTATCGATGAATTAGTGTTCTTTCTTTTCTCTGCAAAGAAATTCATGTACTCCGTATTGACAAGCTTGTAATTACAATCTTGTAGCATTTTAATGCATGCCCGACATTAGACCTAGAAGATATATATATAGGATTTTTAGGTTGTTGTATGTGAAATTGCAATGGAGAAAATCACCCCCAACATGATGGGTTTTGTTTTGTGGGTTATATCCTTTGCTTGAATACTTAAACAATTGAAAAGGCACGATAACAGCATAACATTCAAAAACTCTTAAGCCCTTGGGCAGTCTTTAAGTTTACACCAGGTATTCTGCGTTACGGAGATTTAGGGTCAAACCTGATTATCCATGTGATGAACCCTTGTACTAGCACACGGGTCTCTGTTTGCAAGCTGATTTAGTTGGTACATGTTTTTAATTTTTCGATTGTTTGGTTGATTTCGTATAAGACATCTCCTGCTGGGAAAAAAGGATGTGTGTTGTGTTGTGCTGTGCTGTGTTGGTTGTCTTTGGAGGTGTCTAATGTTGGCTTGTAATGCATGTTTACAGACAAGCAGAGAGTATGGCGGAGGGAGAAGAAGACATGCCAAGGGATGCCAAGATTGTGAAATCATTGCTTAAGTCAATGGGTGTCGAGGATTATGAACCTCGTGTTGTGCATCAGTTTTTGGAGTTGTGGTATCGTTATGTTGTTGATGTGTTGACAGATGCACAGGTTTATTCGGAGCATGCTAACAAAACTGCAATTGACTGTGATGATGTCAAGCTTGCTATTCAATCTAAAGTCAATTTCAGCTTCTCGCAACCCCCACCTAGAGAGGTAAGTGGCTATCCGTCGGATGATAAACCTCCTCCCCTTGTTTTTTGACTCTAATACTATGAGATGAAAATTTTAGCCGTTCATTATTCTATAGTTTTCTTGACCATTGATCTTCAAATGATAGCACTTGCATAGACTCCCGTCTTTCATTGCCTTCTCTCCCGCTTCCTGATTTTCAGTATTACTTTGGAATAGTGTTTGCTTGGTCGAAATGGAGCAAGTTTTACTATTGGTAAACTATCTTCATTTTTCCTCGTGTACGATATGATTCTTTTAACACGTGTTAGCTGTAGATGGCGCCATCTTTTTTGTGATCAATTACTATATTTGTTTTCTTCATCTCATGTAGAGGTTCAAGAAATGATGCCTAACATCAAAAAAAATATAATGATTCCTAACATCTTAAAGTTAGCAATCTTCAGGTTTTACTAGAGTTGGCCAGAAATAGGAACAAAATCCCATTGCCTAAGTCAATAGCTGGGCCTGGTATCCCTCTTCCACCCGAGCAGGACACGTTGATCAGTCCAAACTATCAACTTGCTATCCCAAAGAAGCGGACTGCCCAGGCAATAGAAGAGACAGAGGAGGATGAAGAAAGTGCTGATCCCAACCAATCACAAGAACAGAAGACGGATCCTCCACAGCTTACTCCTCAAAGAGTATCCTTTCCCCTCACCAAACGTCCCAAGTGAGAATTATATATACTGCCAATGTAGGATTACAAGACATTCTCTTGACCTGAGAAGAATGAGCCCGTGTGAAAAGGAATTGAGGACGAACTATTGGATCATTGTAAAATTGGAGTCTTTATGTGAATGCTATGTGTTTTGGATTATTGTGATCTTCATGAAAATTCACTGCCACGCAGTGCTTTTCTGAGTTCAGTTTTTTACTAGTTATAGGTTCGTAGGCATGTCTTCCATTAGTTGTTCAGGTAGTATGAATTCTCCGTATTCCACTCTTTACCTAACTAAAATTAAATTATGTAATATGAGAATTGCCCTGATATAGATTGGTATAGTTTAGTTACTTGGCAGATTCAAAAATAATATAAATAATTGATAAAAATATAGTTTAATTTTAATTTTTTTTATGATGATATTTTTTTTTATATTAAGATAGTAACATGGTAAATCAATTCGAGCTTTATAACTTAACTTGTAAGATTTATAACTCAAATCATGGATTCCAATGGGTTTAACAAATTTGTTTGTTTTTTAAATTATTTTTTATTTAATGATATGATAATAAAAATATATACTAGTAAAATTAAACATCAACTAAATTTTAAGATGTTTGTTTGATATTATGATAATATTGTAGAAAGCAAAATTATAATAAATTATAAAAATTAATTTAATATCAATCAAATATTTAAGGATGAAATTGAAAAGTAAAAGTTAAAAAAGATTTAATCAAAATAATAAAAATCACATGATGAAATTAAATGAAATTGAAAAGTAAAAGTTAAAAAAGATTTAATTAAAATAATAAAAATCACAAGATGAAATTAAAAAGAAGGAACCATTTGATATTATTATTAAATATAACCCAGCGAGCTAATTGTGAAATCTCCTTACTTTATTTCTTTTCTAACTTAGTTTTAGAATTAACTAGTATGAGAGTTGTTTTTATATGATCCAATTGACCTGGTTTAGAATTAACTAGTATGAAAGTTGTTTTTATATGATCCAATTGACCTGGTGGATCCAAAGCTAACTAGGACAACGGTAAAAGCATAGTTTGATTTGGAAAAAAAATCAATATGATATTTTTTTTAATATTAAAATAATTTAAGTTTTACAACTTAATTCATAAATTCCACTGAGTTTAAAAATTTTATTTTTTAAAACTTTTTTTAATGATATGATAACAAAAATAAACTCTTGTATAATTAAGTATCAAACAAATATCAGGATTTTTATTTAAGAATATAATAAGTTTATAGAAAACAAACTAAAATAAATTATCATTAATTTCAAATCAACATATTTGAAGAATAAAATTGAAAAAAAAAAGTTAAAAAGCATGTATGGGAAAAATGCATAAAAAATTAACAATCAAATATTTGGATGTTTATATAAAATTGTGTTAAGCTTATAGAAAAAAAAATATAATTCAACAATATGCTGAATAATAAAATTAAAAGAAAGAAATTAAAAGCTATTTTAAAAAAATTGCATAGAAAGAAATAAAATAGAAAATAGAATTAAAAAAAAAACATATCGATGAACAGAATAGGAGGTGAGGTATTTATTGTCTGTTTGGAAATATAGTATAAATTATTTTCTAAGATGTTTTTCATTTAATAATGTATTAAAATAATATTTTTTTATTTATTTTTTGACATTAACACATCAAAATAATCCAAAAAAATAATGTGAATCTAAAAAAAATAAAAAAAAACTTACAAAAACACATCTAAATGACAATGTCAAACCAAATCTTGATGTAGTGGTTAATTAGCCCATCTCGCAAGTTGTATATTATTTTTTTAAATATTATTTTTTAAAGTATTTTTTTTATGAGTATATTAAAATAATATTTTTATTTTTAATATCTGTGCATCAAAACAATTTAAAAATACTAAAAAATTAATTTAAAATAAAAAATTAAATTATCATAAAAAACAGGTTGAACTACAGCACAACTATCTCTTAACATGGAAGTACTTTTTAATGTTAATTTATTTGAAAGTATAAATAGGATTATTTTTTAAATAATTTTTTATATTAGAATATATATCAATAATTTTTTTATTTTTAAAAATATATTTTTAACATCAACACATCAAAATAATTTAAAAATATTAAAAATATATTAATTTAAAATAAATAAAAAATATTTAAATTTTTTAAAATACACAGACAGGCTAAAAAGCTGTGCGGCAAGTTCCCCAATAGAATAGCGCCATAAAACATGTAGCTGGCGTCTACGTCTCCAAATATGCATGACAGTTTTCGCATTTAACTTTACAGGGACGGAATAATTTGAACGTTCTAATACAGACCCAACATTGAAAGTGATGGGTGTCGGTGGCACAGTGGTAAATTGGAAAAAGAAGGCGAATGGCTGCTGCAACAACGCCTCCGTCTGCATTTCCTTCTTAACATCAATCTAAACCCAAGTAACAAGACCAAACTAGTGCGGATAACAATAAGATTCAAGATAATCACAAGAATTCATTGTGGGGAAGTGAGAAAATAAATCTTTGTTGATCGTTTGAGTCCAGTTAGCCATGGCTTTTTTCATACCAGAACCATATGACTGTTCTGTACAAACATATGCATGTCCAAGAATAACCAATTGTCACTAAATGGAGTCTATATACTATTTATCGGTCTATAAGCAACGGGTCAACTTCTCCATCCAACAGTGCCGCCGCTAACAGCAGGAACTGTGCTTGAAACAGGGGCTGAGCCACGTTCATACATGCGCTGAATCTCTTCCCTGTAGTCGGACAACGATTTGTCAGGTATAGCTGGAGTTAGCTCCACGACATCCCCCATATTTAGCTTGCAAGTCACATCATACACTGGCCGATGGTTCAGCCTTGGCCTCAACTCTTCCTTCACGGGAAACCCATACGGGGACCATCTTGAGCTCGTACGCCCAGCCCTTTCCAGCAGATCCATCACTGTTGAGTTTGCAGGAAACTCTTGCACAGACATCTGCAACATTCACAAAGCATGCATATTCAGTAAAGGACTAGTCAACAATTTACTTTTCTTTGTTCACTCACTTTGACTGGAGATGCCGCGACCCCTGGTACCTATTATGAGCCAAGCTTCTTCTCATTACATTAAACCATACATGGAAGGAGCCTAACCTTATCGTTCTCAATCATAATGACGAAGACAGGTCCATCCTGCCCACAGTGAGGCTTGTAAGAATACGGGCAGCCATCAGAATGTGAAGGGAATGTGCATGGAGGCTTTATGGAATCACCACAGCCAATGAAAGAATGATCCTTGCTCATTGTCTCGCACTGCCAGGTTATGACCCATCTTGCCCACTCAACCATCTGAAGCACAAATGAGGAGTGCTTGCTATCACCTTCCTTGTACCTCCAATGAGCTGCAAATCCAAACTCTGCTTGCAGATGCATCTCCCTTGTTCGAATCTGAACTTCAAGTGGCACTGTGCCCTCACCCATTACTACTGTATGAAGAGATCGATACCTGCAAATAAAAATCAAAGTGTGAAAAGAACAATACATTCGATAGCAACCACCAATAACAAGCCAAAGCCAAAACATACCCATTGAACTTGGGATTATTTATATAGTCTTTGAATTTTCCAGGTACTTCGGACCATAAACGCTGAACAACTCTCAATGCTCTATAGCAGTCTTCATTATTTTCAACAATCAGACGCAACCCATGAATATCATGGATCTGATCCATGTTCAGCTTTTTCCTACACAAATTTAAACTCTCTTGTTAGAAAAACACGCAGAATGATAATTGCATGAAAAACTAATAAGTTGATCTCATAGTTCGTTGTCAATTCAGAGCATGTGAAAAAATTTTCCACCTTAAGAATTTGAGGGGCACAACCACAAATTTTGGTTAAATAATTGTTTTAATCTAACTATCTTATGGGTCCGTGCTTTAGAAACCCTAGAGTTGATGCAAGACCTATAGCCCTAGTAATCAAAGTAATGACCAACTGAATGAACACTCCACGCCCAAGTGTGTGTGTGTGTGTGTGTGTGTGTGTGAGAGAGAGAGAGAGAGAGAGAGAGGCAGCAAACGTACTTCAACATTTTGCAATAAGTGCTATATAAGCTTTTATGCCTTCCAGATAGATCGTAAGAAATGGCTTCATCCGTAAGAGCTTTCTCTAATTTCTCTTTAGCAGAAGCAATCATTGCCTCATCAAAAGAGTCCACAAGTCTAGCAGACAAATCTTTGTGCTGATCTGGGTTGAGATGCTTAAAACAAAGATTTTCTAACTGCTCTTTCCAACTGGAGATTCCTAAACGGTTGGCCAAGGGAGCAAATATCTCCGAAGTCTCTTTAGCAAATCTCTGTTGCTTCACCAAAGGCAATGCATCTAGCGTCATCATATTATGCAATCGATCAGCTAATTTAATCAGGACAGCCCTAGCATCTGCCATGGCAAGGAACATGGTGTGCAAGCGATCTGCCTCAACAGTTTTGCTTGCTGTATTGTTCTCACGAGCAAGCTTGCTCAGTTGGCTAAGCTTAGAGACCTGAGTGAATGTAACAGAGAACTAGATCAGAAGTTTGTAGATACTAGATCAACAGAAATGTAAGGACTACATCAACCAAGGAAACTTCTTACAATTTCTTTCTAAGTTTCTCGTCTTTCAGGTAATGGACCTCAAAAATGCGAGTAAAAAATGAATTCCAAATTTTGATCAAGCTCTGCTGCTGTCAGATGCTCCTGACTTTTAAATATATTTAAAAAAAAAAACTACTGCAGATCGAGTTCCATTTTCTACATTTAGCCTACGAACATATTCGTCATAAACAATAAGCAGCAACTATCTCATCCTAGATGAAATGATGGAGTTGCAGACAAAGTCCAAAAACACTTCTTATGAGAAAACAACGTAGCTTCCATTTTAGAAAGAAACGCGATTAAAAAAAAAAAAAAAAAAACTAATTGGAAGACAATATATATTAAGAAAAACTCATTAAAGTACATCAGAAATTCTGTCTCTTACCCCTTCAACCAAATCAGCCACCCCAGCTCCAAATGTTTTAAATATGTGGTCATAGCTTAGGAAAGAATCATCCAAAGTGTCATGTAAAAGCCCTGCAGCAACCACTGTGGAATTGGCACCAATGATCGCAAGCAGAACTGCAGTCTCTAC